ATACCGACCCAACTACCCAACAACCCAAATCTCAAAATTTAACTCAATTCACATGAATCAGTATGTCAAATCGGTAACTGGGTCGGTAAGTCTAGCATTACTGATAAGAAAAAGTAGTATTTTTGATATCAGATGGATTATAGGGGTTGGCGGGTTGGGCCTAACCCGGCCCACCATCAGGTTAGGCCCGCCTTTTGGTCAAAAAGGTTGGCCTAACCTGGCCCGTCAATCCTAACCCGTTGGGTTATGATGCGGGTCGGGCCGGGTTAGCTTACAATTTCTTTTTAAAATTTTTTTCTTTTATGTAATTGTTTTTAATTAACTTTTGAAATATCAATAATTCAATTCAATTAATTTTTGTTTTTGCTAACATTTTAAACATTAATTCAATTTTAATACAACGTAGCAATTAATCATTGTATTTTTTTATTAGACATTTAAAATATTATCGTATCTTTTTATTAAAATTTTGAAATATCAATACAGTAATTACTAATATAATAATTAATATCAGTCAATATCACACATTTTATATAGAATCCTACCTGTATCTTGTTGGTATCCTACATGAAGTTCAAATGAAGAATAAGGATGCGTTTCAAAATTATATAAATATTGTACATTGATTTGATTTCTTGAAAATAGAAATAAACGGTTGGACTAAGTTTAGGAAAAGGGTGATTTAATTTCTTGTTTTGGACTGCACTTTTTGGGTCATTGAATTTTAAGAATAGATTCAAATTATTATGGATTAACGTGTTTTTGGGTAGTGAGTATTTAACAACAAATTTATTTTTACAGTGATTTGTACACTTGGAACAACATTGATTATGCAACTCTATTAAGTAGTACTGACTGTAACACACTAACACTTGTGTTGGATATAGAGCAATTCTATGTTGGCAAGTTTTATGGTCTTGAATCAATTGTGGCTAAAAAACAAACTGAAGAAGTTATAAATCTTTGTAAGGAATTAATGAATCAGTAATAAATTAAGACTTTTGAAGGACTGATGAGTGATTAAGGAAACGTGAGACCAAAAAATAGATCTAAAAATCATTGAATACATTTTAACTTAAACCAAATCCATGATATAATGTCAGTTCTTGTTCTTAATTGGTGGACCACATACCTTTATTTCTTTAATTAGAAAATCTAGACTTACTTATTTAACTCACAAATCAAATTGAGTGATTTATTCACAAGGATTTTAGTTTTTTTGTTAAAAAAAAAAAAAAAAGCAACCTGTCGGGTTGCTATATAAAAACCTGACCCGCCCGCACGAGGTGCATGCGGGTCGGTTCAACCCGGCCCGCCTTATACGCGGTCCAGGTTGAACCCTCCTTAATGCAGGTCGGGTCAAGGTTGACCCGCCTAACACGGCCCATTTGTTCTAACTCTAGATGGATATAATCTTCGATACATTTACCATATGTGTTTTCGTCTAATTTTTTTTATATAAGAAAAGGTAGGATCTTCAAAACATCTGATGTACGTGTGTTCGTCTAATCTTAAGATCTATGATATACATGTACATTGAGGTTGCATAATTTGATCATTCGCAAAATAAAAAATATTTATTTCAATATATTGAATGTGTATAGATTAATCTAATTCAGAGAAGAATGATATACATGTGGATCATATGTGTTGATGCATGATTTTGACACCAATGAAATATGCACATGCAAATTGCTGTGAGTTTACACGTGAGGTGATTATGGTGAGTGTTTGTGATGAAATGATGATACATACTTGAAGAAATGTAAATAAAAGTTGACAAGAGAGTTTTTTAGAGTGGTTCAGATGCTATGAGCAAATCTTACGTCCACTGTGGTTGTATTAATGATTTTCTCTTTGATCGTTACTGGAATATACAAAGAGAGCGATCACTCGAGATTATAAGATCAAAGTGTTCTAAGAGAATGACAATCTAGTCTCTTTCTAGTAGTGTTTCTTTTCTATGTTTTCTGTAAATCAGTGTGTATCTAAACTCCTCTTTGAGGAGGGGAGCTGCTTATTTATACTCTTTTCAGCCCAATGTAATGAGTGTTTTTGCCGATTTGGTGAAGATCTTTCTTTATCTTGATTTGTTGAGATCCTTCATTTTTATCCTTCAATTTAATGAAGTTCAGACAGTTAGCTGTACAAAATATCCTCCTTAGTCGGTTTAAGGTTCAAATAGCTAATATAGTTTTGTTCTTAAGTGCTTGTTGAATCCTGGTTGGTGGAGATGCTTGCGAAGTTTTGATTGGTGGAAATGCTTGCTGAGTTCTGATTGGTGGAGATGATATCAGTATATTATCTGGACATAACAATGTGTATAAGAAAGGGGTAGAATTTTCAAAACATCTGATACATCTGTATTCGTCTATTCTTGAGATCCATGATATGCATGTATACTAATGTAGTATAACTTAGTCTGATACATAAAGAAAAAACAATGTTAGGTACATCTGAATATACGTGGATTCGTCTAATTTTGAGGCATAACTTGATTGATTGATTGTACATGTATCTTGACTACAACAATTTTTTGCTTTAGGATTGGGCTTGGAGAAAGTAAGAAGCAAATAGGAAATAATCTCCGATTCTCTATGCTGTGCATCACTAATAATTAAGGGATACCTTTGTTACATTATCAACCCATAAATGTTTTGGCATATGGTAACATCATACATAATAGTTGTAGCATAATAATGTAAAGGATAATAATACATTTATAACCCAATCTCACAAACTTTCTCTTACAACCCCGACGTGACAGCTCGCAAATGGGTCTCACTTGTCTAAGTGCGAGTTGTCACATCAGATTTGTGAAAAAAAGTTTTTAAGATTGAGTTGTGAGCCGATCTTTATCCTAATGTAAAATATCCAACTTTGAGTAGGCTTAAAGTTCATTATTATGATATTTTAATTTATACTGTATACATATACAAAATTCGCTACTCAAAACCATTGTATTAACAATAGGACCGCTTCTTGACCCGGTCAAGATACCGGTTCCCCAGTTGACCGATCCAACCGCTTGGACTAATTGGTTTGACCGATATGTAACAGAGACATCTCTGAATAATTTATCAGTCCTTATAAGTTTAAAAACCTACAAATACACCCCTAAAATTTACCCATGAGTCCCTATAAGTTTGAAATAACCAGCAACTTTTACTATTAATTATTTTTTTCTCTCTCCCGATCACTTTCATCTTTCTCTTTTTCTTCTCTCTTCCCATCACTTTCATCTTTCTCCTTTTTTCTCTCTCCCGATCAATTTTTTCTGTCCCGTCACTTTCTTCTTTCTTCTATCCTTTTCCCCTCTTTCTCTTGTAACTTTTTTTTCTCTTCTCTTTCTTCTTCCTTCCTCTATTCTTCTTCGTCTCCTCTTCTCTTTCTTCTAATCTTCTTTCTTCCTTTATTCTTCTTGCTTACTCTGTCTCTTCGTCTCCTCTTCTCTTTCATCTTCCTTCCCCTCCCCTTACTTCTTCTTCTTTGCATGGTAGATTTTAGAGTAAGTGAAGAAGAATAGAAGATGAAAATGGAAGACACAATTTGGTCTTTGGAGATGAGAATGGTATTGAAATGAAATGGAGAATGGTTGCTGGCTCAATGAAATGGTACTGCAAATCTGGTTTAGGAATTAGGGATCAGATTAACCCCAAAATAGTTAATCGGTTTAAGCTCCGGACCGGTTGGATCGATGGTTTTGTATTGTGCCACCGATCTGTTACCGGTTCAAAGCGGGTTGTATGTTATTTCCGGTTTTTATGTTAACTCGGACCGAAGTTAAGGCCAAGTCTCGATTGGACCGACTGGTCCAGTTCGGGTTTTAAAACAGAGCTCAAAACGTGATAATATTATATGATTTATCTATAGAATATTATTTCAGTCGAATGGATAAATACAACAGTGTTAAGCATGTTCTAAACAATATTTTTAAACCCGACCTAGGCCTTGACTCGGTCAAGGGGCCGGTCCTCGGGTCAAGTAGTCTAACCAGTTTGACCGATTGATCATACTGGTGATGTCAACATATCTATCAAGTTTGATATCTAACAAACACACCCCTAAGAAATTACGCATCAGTCCGTACATGTTTGAAATCCAACAAACACACCCATGTGATATGGCCAAGAAACCCTAGCCGTTGCAACTGCAATCCATCCCATATCAGCCCTAATCTTTTTTCGGTCATTTTCGATGCCCACAGGTCCAACCCTCCAGACACCGCCTAAACACTTTCCCTACTCCATTTTCATCAATTTCCAACCGATCAACATCGCTCGCACAACCCTACCTTGCAATCGTTGATGCCAACACCACCTTCAGCTTCCTCTTCACCTCGTCGCTTCATAACTTCGGACATCGACCTCCTCGACCCACCTACAACAACTATCAGTCATCAGTTCTCTGACTTGATGGTTGAACCGTCGGTTCAACATTGTTATGCTGGCTCAACCACAGGCCAATCCAAGCTAATGATTGAAACCGGGTTTAGGGTGTCAAGGACCAAAGAAGAGGCTGGTCGACGATTGGAGTGATTGAATCAATCTATCTAGTTCAAATTTTAAAACATTGGTTCTAAATAATTTATTACTCACTTTTTTTTCTTCTAATTATTTAGAATTTAATATAAAATAATTACAAATCTAATTAAAATCATATGTGACTTTACAGACCAATATTGTATCGGTGCATTGGAACCATATATTATACACGAAATAGTTTTATAAGTACATCTATAGCTTCATAAAAATCACATAATATCAAACACGGGATCTGAATCAAAGTTTTATTGTATAGTATTTATAAAATAATGTTATATACTATTATATAAAATAATGCTTATGCATTATATTATAGTGATAATTAATTTAAATTAAACCTGGGCCCAAAGGCCCGCGTTTTAGCATCCCTAAATCTACACTCAAAAGATTTAGCAGAATAGCCTGAAACACAAATGTTTTTGAGAGTGGAAAAAATGTATTAACATAACATAAAACTAAAATGCAAGCTGAGCTTTTAGGATACAGTGAATGATAGCAGTAAGTTGAAGAACAGATACATCAAAATTTTGACAAAAGGCAGGTTGTTTAAATTTTCGTATTCTGGCAGTCGAAAACGCCACATATTATGATGATATTTCATCTCTAAAATTGATCGAAAATTATGATGAAACAGTGCTACTTTTCTAAAATGAAGATGTTTCAAAAATGGCTCCCTTGGTTTGTAATCATCTTCCAGCTATCTGAATTTTGTAAGGAGAATCAACTGATGAAAAATTATGCAATTTCTTTTTTGGTATGAAAGCGAATGAAGAAAAACTAACCTTGATTTTTCAGATAGTGCCAATGAAGCATGCGGAAGTAAACAAACTATTTGTTTGGTATGATTTTGAGCAGCTCGATATCAAACAGCAGAGTCTTGTCTATCAGCCCTTGGTTCCTCAGCACAAAATCCAAAGCTCGTTGGCCCTGTAGAACAAGATATCGTTAACCCTCGCATAAAGAGAAGCAATATTATACAAGATATCAAAACGCTTGATTATTACTGAAAATGTAGTTGGTCTTGGGCCACTTTTGTTGTAGTCATTCTCAGGATATCCCAGTTCTGGGGGCACTATGATCCTGCATCACTGTGAAGTAAAATGTGAAATTTGCACAGGATGTGTATGCACAGAAATGCAGAATAGTAATAATTCTCTTCTACTTCCTCATCAAGGTCAAAAATTAAAACTAGTAAAACACCTGTGTAACAACCTCAGGAAGTTCAGTAGTTACCAGAAGAACATCAATGCAGTAAAAAAGTAAATTAGTTGATAAAGCTAGGATTAACTAGAACCTATGATAACATCAAAATGCATGGGTCTAGCATCTCGCCTTTTTTAGGATAAAAAAGCTGAGTGCACACGAACATAGCAAAACTAAAGGTAAGACACACTTAAATTTTACATGATCTGCTTGAAAGTATGTGAATGTGTATATGCTTGCATGTTGACCGTTTCCAATTTATAATTGATTGAAATTTTTCATCTAATTTAACAAAGACTATATGTTTCAGAGAAACATTTGCCGCACCTTCTAACGCCACCAAGAGCCATGCCTGAAACTGCTTCCTCAAAAGCCGGAATTACCTGAAATTCAAGAAACAGGCAGCACCATTAGCAGCTGCTGTTCCAACCACCAAGTATCATGCCACTAAGAAAACAAGTAGAACATATAATAAATTTATAGGACTATATTGTTGGTGATATTCATCTAAAACCCCAACCTCTGTGGTTGACTATGCACTTGACTTAATATGTGAAACCTCATAGAAGCATGAATGTGTAGCAGGAAGAAAGACTTCAAAAGCACTTAAAACTAGAACAAACAAAAGACATAAAGAGTATAATCTCCACTCCATCATATCAGAGTACAACATTAACAATCTTTAGCCTTTGGAAAGGGAAATAATTTCACCTCTTGAGATCCAAGCCTAAATTTGAAAAAGTCCTTGTCATCTCCCTACAAATTGCAAACCACGGAAGATTTTATTTTTATCAAGTATTGTAGAGTAAGATCTAGCAGAAGAATGACAAGCTTTCATACCACAAAGGAGCCACCCTTAGTTTTGTTTCGAGCTTCAAATATGCGGCCATAGTATCCTATGGTGTAACCATCCCAATCAACCTAAAACACATTCATAGTTCGCAAACTGATTGCATAGCTCCAACTTGGAATAAGACAAAGCACCCATAAAGAAACTATTATCATTTTTAAAGATATTCAGATTCTGAAGCATAAATTGTTCGGTTTTTCAACCAGAAATAATCAAAGCTAACAAATTTACAACTGGATTGTTGTAGAGCCAACTTTATAATGTTTGGCTAATTTTAAAGATACTTCCAGGAACAGGTAAAGCCATTCATAGAAACATTATGATATCTCCTTACCACAACTGTCTCTCCCATCTTTGGTGTAGGTCCACTTCCTAGTCGCAAGTCCTGCATTCTTTTTAGTTTGAAATTAACCAAGTAATTAAACCATAATGCTTGTACATATAAACATGTATGGAGGGTGTTGGATGAAGTCTTCAATGGGTAACCTTATATTGAAGACCTGAGTCTGTTTCTGTATAGTCAGGATACCGCATCTTCGTCTTGCCATAATCCTTCCCCCTAAGTGCTGGCACTGCATGTATCAAATGGAGTACTAAAAGTAAGTCCTTGCAGCTATTGTATGTCATATGCCAATTTACAGAATCTATAATACAGATAGATAAGAATGCAGTATAAGAACCAAGAAAATTGCTGAAGTTACCATTAAATCAACCCAGTTATTGGATGATGTGTAGAAACTTTATTTTAGAGGACATGAATGAACAATCATAGTACTAACACTTGCTCATTATAAGAAAGGTGATGGTATACTAAAAGATAGATAAGGTAGTACTGCTATCATCTCATAACACCTGCTTAACTTATTCTGACAATTTATTACTACTGAAGGGGAACAAATTCAAACCATATATAATATTCCTTCAATTAAAGAAAGTACAAGTGCTACTTTAAAATAGACAGAAAAATGGCGCACACATGAATTAATCATCACAGAACACAGAATAAATTCAAACCATATATAATATTCCTTCAATTAAAGAAAGTACACGTGCTACTTTAAAACAGACAGAAAAATGGCGCACACATGAATTAATCATCACAGAACACACAGAATGATTGGAATTAATAAAGGGATAAAAGATCGTTACTATCAGTAAATTCAGCCGCAGCAGCTACTCCATTCATTGGAGAATTGCACAAGGCTCCAGCTAGTACTCCAATGGACGATATCAGCACTTGTCTTCGGTCAATGTCTCGTATAGTACTTGTGGGATTACTTTCACCTACAACAGAAAAATCCAATATTTCATCAAGAACTCAAATATAGTCCCTTAAGTATTTATAGCAAAATCACAAGATATCCTAGACCTAAAATGATTGTGATAGGTTTAAACAATCACAATAACATTTTTTATTTTTTATGAAATAGTAAACCAACAAGTTTGTGTATTCTGACCAAAATTAAATTCAGTCTTGAACCAAATATGCAGCAAGAAAGAAAGCCAAAAAACTACAACGAAAACTACTCACATCAGTATTCTAATCTCTTGGGTCGCAGCAAGTAAAGAATATCTCCTCAATTTACGTCTTAGGCCAAAATGTGGCGTAAAGAAAGATAAAAAGAACACAATAAATGCTATTTATATCCGCATTCAAAGTCGCGCTTTAGATGAATAGAACTTCGGGGACGCCTAAAGTGACAATATCTACTCAGTTGGGTCAAAAACCTAACTCACCCAAAAACTTGGCTTGTATGGGAAGCATGTGCAGTGCTTGTTGAAATTTAAAACACTTAAAAGCCCAATTGCCAAGTCTTAGCTTGTTGATGCAGGACTTGGTTCGGTTGTGTGAGGTTTTTTTTTTTTTTTTTTTTTTTTAATGAAATACCAAACCTACAAGTTTGATTATTCCAACTAAACATTAAATTCAGTCTTAAACCAAATATGCAGCATAAAAAGAATTCCAAAAAACCACAACGAAAGCAACCCACATCAGCATTCAAATTTCTTGGGTCGCCGCTACTAAAGAATATCTACTCAATTTAAGTCTTAAGCCAAAATGTGGCATAAAGAAAGCTGAAAAGAGCCTAACAATGCAATCCACATCAGTGTTTAAAGTTGCCTTTTCGATGAAATACAGCTTCGTGATGCCTAATTGACAATATCTACTCTGTTGGATCAAGACCCTGAGTCACTCAAAAAATCGGCTTATAAGGGAAGCGTGCCAGTGCTTGTAAGCCCTATAGCCAAGTCTTAGCTTGGTGATGGCGGACTTAAACGGGTTGTTACACAGTTCCATAGAAATCACCTTGTTTGATACAATCATCAACTATAACACTTAATTAACTTAAGTTTGAGCCATAACGTGTCTTACAGAAAGCTAAAAAAGCCCCAATTTAAACTACCCACATGAACAATAAAAGACAAAGTAAATAAATTTTGAAGCAAATAATATTGATGTGAAATCACAGCTAACCCCACGAAGCAGAACAGCAGAATCTATGTGGGTTCTGGAGGGACTGAGCTCTGCTCCATTTCTGGAACATTAAACACACAGAGTATTCTCAATTGAATTCGATAGTAAGCACTTTGAAATAAATAAACAAATAAAAAAAAAACATAGAACGACTGCGTACCGGAAATGAAGGTTTGAGGACGGAGAAAGAAGGAGATCCAAGAGCTGAAATGGAAGCCATTGAAAGAGAGAGAGAGAGGTGTCTCGCGGGAAGATAACGGCCTCAGCTTTTGGTAGACCCTCTTCACTTTTTTTTTTTAATGCTCAGGAGAATTCGAGAATGTATAAACATCTTTTTATTATCATTTATGAGTTTACGTTAAAATTAGAGTTATTAATAACAATAATCCTCAAACCTTAATTTTTGTATTAAAATAGAGGGTAAAAGGGTAATTAGATAAATATTTATTTAATAAGACAATGAGTGAATGACCAGCTTTATAAGTTTGTTTTACAGGAATTTGGAAGCTAGGATGAGATTCCCATATTAGCTTAATTTAACAAAATAAGCTGAGTAAATTAACCTAAGGTATAATTAAATTTGTAAGAGTAAGTGGTTTCAGATAAATATAGGAAATAATAAGAACTGTAGGAGGAAGAAGGATAAACTCATATTCAATAATGCTAGAGGTTTTTGATAGGTATTAATATTTCAAAGATGTATTTAACAATTTTCGAAAATCTTTAAGAAGCTTGAGACTTAATAAAAGAAACCTTACAAGCATATATTTGTATTCAATTGAAAAAGAAAATGTTTGTCATCATATACAACCATATTATCATTCAGAGATGTATAATTTTTGTTTCCATATTATCATTCAACTAACATTTTTTAGAAACTCGCAATAAAAAATTCATTTCTTCGTAAAAGAGACTTAATTTCTCTAATATTTTTAAGAGTAAACAAAAATCAATGTCTAACCCTTTCTTTTTTTTCTTACGTGCATCTCGACTAACCAACCAGCGAACCCTTTGACCCCAAACTTTTACCACTCGGCCAACTCATTGATAGTTAGGAATATACATTACAATTTGCATTAGAATATACAATACAAGCTCAAAATGAGCATAACAAATCTTTTACACTTAGGTGCTAACTAAATAATATTCCATATTGTTAGGATATCAAACTTAACATTGTTGACCCGTTGACCTGCTGACTAGGATAGTTACTAAGAGCTCACTGTTAACTCAGCTCACTCTACTTAGCTCAGTTCATGTTTGTATATAAAGAACAGTGTAACAACTTTACTCTTAACTGAATAAAAAAAAAAAAAAAAACCTGAATCTTCTACTTTCTTCTTCTCCGATTTTTCTTTACTCCCAAACTGCTTTACTTCCTCACTTGGTATCAGAGCCATTGTCAAATGTCAAGAATGGCTGATACTTCTTCAAATTCTTCGTCGATTAACGAGTCTAACAAAATTTCAAGCCTTAAACAAGGTTCTGATGCAGTAAATTTCAATAGTTCAGCTTCAATGTCTTCCTCAACTCTCCCAGCAATTACACCCAAATTAACTAGAGATAACCATCGATTCTGGAAATCTCAGATTCTCTTTGCCGTCGGAGCTCATGACCTTGAAGAGCATCTGATTGGATTAATTCCTTGTCCTGCTCCTTTAATTATAGTACAATCAGCTGAATCCAACTCTGAGGTAATTAAGAAACCTAATCCAGATTATTATCTCTTGAAGAAGACTGATAAGCTGTTAGTTAACTGGTTGTTGTCTTCCATCTCGGAATCCATGTTTGCTGTTATCTCCAAATGTCATTTTGCTGCTGATATATGGCTTATATTAGAGAAGGAATTTCTTACTGAATCTAGGGCAAAAACTCTTCACGTTAAAAGTCTTTTACAAAACACAAAGAAAGACAATTTAAGTATACATGATTACTTCCTCAAAATGAAGAGTTTTGTTGAAAATTTGTCTGCCAATGGCATTGTTATCTCCGATGAAGAACTACTGAATTATATTTTGGTTGGGTTAGACTCAGAATATGATGCTGTTGTTGTTAAAATTACCACTAGATTGGAATCTTGAGTTGATCCAATATCTGTTCAAGAAGCTCAGATTGTGCTTAAAAAACTTGAGTTGAGACTGGAAAAGGCAAATTCTGCAATGACTTCAATGGTTCATTCTGAATTTCAAGGAGGTACTTCTAATGTTGCTAATCTCACCATTGATAATGTTAACAAGAAGCTATAATCAGATCAGATGCCTTCACTTCCTGTTAGCTCTTCTCAGTTTCACACTCGGGTGTTATCTGATCAACAACCCTCATTCAACTCATCATATTTTCCTACTCATCAAACTCTGCCTATGTTCTCCACTCCTCAGAGTCAATTTTACTCTCATCAATTTGGTGGAAATTACACCAGTGGTAAAGGCAGAGGTAGAACAGGAGGCAAGGGTAAGTTCATTTGTCAGGTGTGTGGGAAGTCAAGGCATGTTGCTCTGAATTGTTACCACATGTTTGATGTGAACTGTAATGGTAATAATCCCTTGATAAGGAGTAATTTCAATTCTCCTAATTTTGCAAGACCACCTGAGCTTCACTTTGGAGGACAATACACCCCAGCCACTCACTCACACTTTACATAAAACACTCATCTAGGATCTGTAATGCAATTTTAGAATAACTATCCGAATCAGGTTGCACCACTTTTTGGAGGATCACATACTCCTACTAGCACTCAGTCCAGTTCTACTACTACTAATGTGCATAATCAAGCCTTGCTGACCCAATCTCAGAATTACTCTTAGCCTTCTGCTGTTATCAACTATATTGCAACTTCATCTAGTGTTCAAGACACTGCCTGGTATATGGATTCTGGAGCTACAGATCATGTAACTTCATATTTCTCTCAACTGACAACAAGCAACATCTATTCTGGCAATGAACAGCTACAAGTTGGGAATGGTGAGTTACTTACAATTTCACATACTGGTTCTGTTGTCTTAAATTGCCCTTTTAGAGTATTGCATCTTAGCCATGTATTGTATGTTCCTAATATAACAAAAAACTTACTTAGTGTCTCTAAACTTACACGTGATAATGGTGTTTTTGTTGAATTCTTTACTGATCATTGCATAATTAAGAAAAAGTCATCCAAAGCAATTCTTCTTCAAGGAATGCGTAAGGCTGGTCTGTATCAGCTTCAAATTCCAGCCTGTTCTTCTCCTAGTTCTACCGCAGCTTTGGTTCCTTCATTACATTCCAAGTTACACAACAACTGCATTTAGTTCTTCCCTGCTCCTTTGCATAAGCATTTGGCTACCACTGCTCCCTGTGAACAAATGTTAGTTTCTTCAAAGTCTAATAAATGTACTCATGCTTGTATTTCTCCTATTGATCAAGCTTGTAACACTCACGCTGATTCTTCTGTATCTGTTGTTATGTCTTCTGTTAATAAAGTTTGTAATAACTATATTGAGTTGCTTGTATCCACTATTGTCTCTACTGATGCTGCAAATATTACCAATAAGCAGAATAATTTTTCCTTTCAATCTTTCCTTGCACAAAAAAATTGATCTTATGTTATGGCATAGAAGGCTAGGCCATCCCAATATTTCTGTACTTAGATTCTCACTACCTTAAAACTGAATCACCATGCTAGAACCAACATTACCTTTTGTCAAGCTTGACAATATGGTAAACTACATCAATCTGTTTATCCTAGGTCTACTTTTTCAGGCATCAAAACCCCTTGAATTAATATATTCTGATCTTTGGGGTCCCTCTCTTGTCACATCTCCCGAAGCCTTTAGATACTATGTCCAATTTCTTGATGATCACACTAGGTTTACTTGGATTTTTCCTTTAAAACTAAGTCTGAAACTTCAATTGTTTTTAAACATTTTCATAAGCTAGTTGAAAGGCAGTTTAGTGCTTTCATTAAATGTGTTCAAAACTGACTGGGGGGGGGGGGGGGGGGGGGGGGGGTGAGTACCGAAGTCTAGTCCCTTATTTCAAAGATCATGGCATATTATTTAGACATCCGTGTCCTCACACTCACCAACAAAATAGTAAAGTTGAGAGGAAACATCGCCATATTGTAGAGCAAGGGTTAACCTTGTTAGCTCAAGCTTGTATGCCTCTCAAGTTTTGGTGGTATGCTTTTCAAATAGCTGCATATCTGACTAATAGGCTTCCCTCTCCTGTTTTAGATAACTCTTCTCCATTTCAAACTTTATTTCATGTTGCTTCTAACTAGTCTATCATTAAGGTGTTTGGCTGTGCTGTTTATCCCTTTCTTAGACCTTATAGTTCACATAAGTTCAATTTTCATACTGCCAAATGCACATTTGTTGGTTATAGTTTGTAGCATTAGGGATACAAGTGTCTTGATTCTTCTAGTCGATTATATATTTGCCAAAGTGTTAAATTTGACGAGTTAGATTTTCCATTTCAAAATACTTCTTCTTTTAGTTCCCATACTACACACACTCCATTATTATCTGATTCTGCCTTGCATTCCCTTACTACTTCAGTTTGGCATGTTCCTCATTTTGCATTCTCTTTGCCTCATGATTTTGCATCCAATACTTCTCACACTGCTTGTCCATCTGCAAATGATCAGTTCCATTCACAAAACACTTCCCAATCTAGTCCACCTACTATCATCCCCATATCAACTTCAACTTCAACTTCAACCCTTCCTGATGCAGTAACTTCAGACCTTGTCAGGCTTTCTATCTCTACTACTTTTGGTCCAAATATTACTAGTCCAAATGTTACTAGTCCCTCAACTTCAAGTCCCATATCTTTAGATTCAGCTTTGTTTCCTGTTTCCATTCCCTCAGAACAATCCTATGACACTATCCCTCTTACAGTTAACCTACCCTTATTTAAAACTATCCTACTTGTGTCAAACACTCACCCTATGGTTACTAGGTCTAAGGCAAAGGCTCACAATACCATTTTAGTTCCTCCAACCTGTCTTGAAACAACAGAACTAGTCAATGTGACAGAGGCTCTCTCTCATCTAGCCTGGAAGGCTGCTATGCAGGCTAAATTTGATGCCATACTAGCTAATCACACTTGGGATTTGGTTCCTACTAAACCTAATATTCATCATGTGGGCTGTAAGTGGGTGTTCAAGATAAAAGTTAATCCTGGTGGCTCTATTCAGAGGTTTAAGGCAAGGCTAGTGGCCAAAGGGTTCCAGCAGACTCCTGGAATTGATTACCTTGAAACATTCAGCCCTGTAGTCAAGTCACCCACCATTCGAGTGATATTCAGTCTTGTTGTACATTATGATTGGGATATACAACAAATTGACGTAAATAATACTTTTCTCAATGGGGAACTCACTGAAATAGTTTATATGGTTCAGCCTAAGGGTTTTGTTCATAATCAGTATCCTCATCATGTTTGCAAATTGGTCAAGGCACTTTATGGCTTAAAATAGGCATTAGGGGCCTGGTTTGAAATGCTTAAGAAGGCTTTTGTTAAGTGGGGCTTTGTGCATTCTATAGTTGATCCTAGTTTGTTCATATATCAGCAATAAGGAAAATTAATGTATGTTTTGGTATATGTGGATGGCATACTCTTGACAGGGAATGATGATATATTGGTTCAAGAAACTATCAAAATGCTCAAGACATAGTTTGCCTTAAAAACCTTGGGTTCTCTCAAATATTTCCTTGGTTTTGAGGTAACAAGAACTGCCTCAGGTCTTCACATAAACCAAGAAAAGTATGCAAAGGATTTGTTAAATAAAACACAAATGATGGACTGTAAACCGTGTGTTACTCCAATGGCTGTAGGCACAAAGTTAGCACTTGAGGATAGTGCAACACATGACAATCCAACCCTTTATAGAAGCACCATTGGTGCCCTGCAATACCTCACTCTATCTAGGCCTGATATCTCCTATTCTGTTAAGAAGTTGAGCCAGTTTTTGAAGGCCCCTACTTAGTCACATTGGCAGGCCTACAAAAGACTATTAAGATACATCAAAGGGATTGTCAACTTTGGAATGCAATTTAGTAAAAGCACAAGGTTGAATCTGGAATGTTACACTGATGCAGATTGAGCTAGTAGTGTTCAGGATAGGAGATCCATTAGTGGTTGCTGTGTGCAACTTGGTTCCAACATAATACAATGGAACCCTAGAAAGCAAAAAGTTGTAGCATTGTCTTCAATCGAGGCAGAATATAGGGCCCTTGCACAAGGTTCTACTGAGTTGGCCTAGTTCTTAGTTTATTTACTGAAATTGGAGTCTCTTTAGTTGAAATTCCTATAATATGGTGTGATAATCAAAGCGCAGGTTCCCTTGCTTCAAATCTTGTCTTCCATGGCAAGACTAAACATATTGAACTTGATGCTCATTATGTAAGGGAACAAGTTACAGCTAATAAACTAAGGGTTCAATATGTTCCCACTGAACATCAAAGAGCTGACATTTTTACTAAAGCACTTTCAGCGTCTAAATTTGAAGCCTTGTGAGACAAACTTAAAGTACAGGCTACTGGTGATAGTGCTTCTACTTCTAAGTTTGAAGCATAAATCTTCTGTATATTTGAATGAATGACTGGCTAAATCTTGGTTAAATGCTGGCTCTATGCAAAATATATGTGTTTTGGTGCAGGATTATGGTTATGTTTTTGTGCAAGAATGTATTCATATGCAGGACTATATGTTGTTTTTGGCTTGTGCAGGACTATATGCTGTTTTGGCTATACTGCAGAATGTATTTCTATTGCTTATACAGGACCATATGTTGTTTTGGCTAATATATTGTAGGTTGTGTGAGAAGTTGCAAGTTGTGTGAGAATGTATACTCATTTTGGCTGATATGCTGCAGATTATGTGATACTAATTTGTGAAGTTTTGGTTGTTGGAGTTTGTGATTTTACTTCTCTAAGGGGTGCCTGAAGACTGTTCTAAAAGTATTACTTTGTGTAGCAATATATGTCAAGTGTATGCTATTTTGTGCAACAATGTATGTTGTTTTTGACTGAAGGTTCAATGATGAGTTTTTGAAAGTTATTCAGCAGATATATAATTGGTGGAATAATGCTTCTTCAACTCAGTATGCAATGTGTTTCTTTAGGTCAATTTACAAGTTGTTTCTTCAGTTCAATTTTGTGCAACTTTAGCTCAATTTGTCTGTGAGCACGATTTGCAGATGCATACTAGCAAAATTGACAGATTAAAGACCACATGTCTGTTGAAAGAGGTTTGATTTAAGGGAGGATGTTGAGTACTTGAGCATATTCAGAAAGAGCAAATTCAGAAATTATCAGAATTAAGGAGGTTTGGTTTACGGGAGGATGTTAGGATATCAAACTTAACATTGTTGACCCGCTAAGAGCTCACTGTTAACTCAGCTCACTCTACTTACTTAGCTCAGTTCACGTTTGTATATAAAGAACAGTGTAACAACTTTACTCTTAACTGAATAAAAAAAAAATCCGAATCTTCTACTTTCTTCTTCTCTGATTTTTCTTTACTCCCAAACTGCTTTACTTCCTCACTCATATAATTAATAATTTCTTCAATCTTATTAATTAGTCTTTCGTATATAATGCATGAAGCATGAGATATTATATTTAAATATTTTGCCTCTCTTCAATGATGGTTAAATTTAAAACAAACTATTAAAACATAAATAGCATAATTTATCTTCATGTGAAAATTGAAATATTAGAGGCAACTAATACGGAAAAAGAAATCGCTGAATAATGAAGGATTAATTAAGGGTTTTTGTACACATTCAAAAGGTCGATAATGCTCTTTTAAAAACATGGAAATATATATATATATTCTTTTATTTCATCCATCTTTATTAAAAAGAAATCTCGCTTTTAGTTCAAAATAATCACAATTTGTATATAATCCTTATTAAAAAAGTGTACCGTCCATCTTTATTGAAAAGAAATCTCTCTCTCTCTTTTTTTATTATTCTTCAAAGAAAAAAAAAAAAAAAAGAGTTATTTTTTAGTTAGGATATCACAAGATAATTATGATTTATACATACAAAACTCAAACTCTCTCGTATTATCTCTCTTATAAAATAGTTTTATCTTTTATAGAGCATGATATTTAGTTGTTTTATTGCATTTACATTTTGCATGTATTTTTACTTTTGTTATAATTAGAATTTCGTTTAAATGTTTAAAATTAAAAAATAAATAACTTTATCTTCTGTATTAAGGACATGTTTGACATGCGACATAACGTAGTATTAAGCAAATTGCATAGTATTATATTCAATTATTTTTATACTATGTTATATTTGGTTATAAATTACATTGCATAGTATTTATTTTATTTTTATTTTTTGGTTCTCTAACAAAAATTCATCTTATTAAGAATTAATACATATTTTTTAATTATTATTTAACTAATAAATTAAAAAAAAAATTCAAAACTTAAACGGGTGTTGATGTCCACTTTTGTCAATGAAGCCCAATAGGTCCAAATGGACCCAATCAAAAAAACAACTCAACAAAGAAAAGTTTTAAAATTGTTCGACGGTCGAGCAAAGAATTTAATAACTTGATAAATCAAAAGCTTTTACCAACAGTAAGATATTATAAATATATTCAGCATATTATAACTAATTAATAAAAGAGATAAATTACATAAATTATTAATTATATTGAGATAATCCCAAAGATTAAATTTATTATTAATTTGATTTCGGGATTAATTGAGATAATTCATAATAAATGTAATTTTAATATCAATATGTAATCCTTTTGTTTGGAAAACAAGAATTTCAAAATTAATGTTTGGATGCAATGCAATCCTACTAGTGTAAAAGAAATAATAATAATAATTAATTTTTAAATATTCTGCAAAACTGTTGTTGGATTAGGATATTGTTAAAGATGCATATCAACTTTTTGAATGGTATGTTTTAAAAAATATTTTTCAAATCAAATCACAATGAGATTTGTTTCAATCAAAATTAACCAGTAATGTTACCGAGATTTACATCCTATAAAGCCCTGAAACCATAGAAACGAGACACTGATTTTCTCTTTATATTCCACTTTCTGATTGCAACATACAACCCCATTTACATTCACCAAACTTTCTCATTCAAATGTTAAATATTACAACCAGATTGGTAGCTTTAAAATTAAAAAAAAAAACCAAGTTTTTAATAAAACTTCCAATAAACTGAGCAACTAAACCACTACTTGTACACAACACATAATCATAAACAAGTCTCACAATGCTAGGAGGCAGGATTTGAGAACCCACTTGTTTTATTTTCATCACAATGACAAAATGCCAACAAATTCTTAAGAAAACACTTAGTGGCTTACCAGCTTCAAAGAGTTTGCTTTCTCTTGCAGGGTGTCAAGCAGACTGTCAAAGCTCTTCTTGAAGGAGTCGACTCCTTCAAGTTCGAGTTGAGTGCCAACATAGCTCCAGTCAATTCCCAACTTCTCAAGTGCGCTGTAAATGCCTTCAGCTTCGGAAACGTTTACGTCGATTGTTCTTGAAACAGCACCATGATCGACAAATGCTTGGAGAGCTTGGTCTGGCATGGTTGAAACCTGTAATAGGGAAACCAGTAACAAGCATAAAAAGGGTTGTCCATCAACAAATTAATGTTGAAAACCATGAAGTTCGTTGTTGTGATATATTAAAATGAGCAGCAATTAGAAACGAACACAAGAAATCAAAGTGAGGATAGAAGCAGCTCACCGTATCAGGTCCGATGAGAGGAGCAACATATAAAGTGTCAGGGTAGGCAGGGTTCTTTACGCTGGTTGAGGCCCACAACACCCTCTGCTTCTTTGCACCTTTCTTCACAAGAGCCTCCCATCTTGGACCAGAGAATTTCTTCTGGTAGAGCTGGTACGCCAAGGCAGCTTGAGCTACGGCAGCCTAAAATGGTTAAGATGGCATGCAATGAGCACAACTTTACATTCTACTTTTATAGTCCTCAGGAGTAAGAATATGTAATTGAACCTAAGTTACCTTTCCCCGGAGATCAAGAGCTTCTGGTGTTCCAATCTTTTCAAGCATTTTGTCAATGAGGGTGTCAACTCGACTAACAAAAAAGGATGCAACACTTGTAACTTTAGAGAGGTCATCTAGACCAGAAGCCTCAAGGCCATCCAAGTAAGCATCGATGACTGCTTCATATCTAGCAAGGGAGAAAATGAGCTGTACAAACATGCAACAGAAATTGAAAATCAGAGACTATCATAGAGAAATGGTTGTTTTAAAACATAGGAGAATTGAAGGAGTTCGATGAACCAAAATTTTGATCCTTTGGATCAATACAGCAGCAGCACATACTTTGCACTCAAGGTTATAGCCAAATACACCAGCATATAATAGTGTATAGATTAAGACAACTTTTACAATAAAATTGGTTATATAGCCCAAGAATAGGAAGGGAAGGACAGAATGAACTCACAGTCACATTGACGCTAATGCCATTTGCTATAACTTCCTTGATAGAAGGAATGCATGGAGCTGTGGCAGGTATCTTAATGTAAACGTTGGAGCGGTCAACTACTTTGTGAAGCCATTTTGCTGCCTCCACAGTCCCTTGAGTATCATCAGCAAGTCTAGGTGAAACTTCAACAGAAACATAGCCATCACCACCATCAGTTTCGTCATAGATATGCTCAAAAAGTTTGCATGCATCTTGAATGTCCTTAATCACAAGTTCCCAGTATGCAGCTTCAATGTCTTTTCCAGATTGTACAAGTTCCCTGTAGATTCCAATAATTATTGATGAATACAACAAACAATTTTATATTTCTAAACAGAAATCAAGATAGTACACCCAACTTCCAAAATCCAATAAACAACAAACACAGACAACTCTTCTGAAATGAACACGAGTATTATTACGAGGATTTTACTGCTAGGGGCTAAAATGTCAATTGTTACATCCTTTGCCACCTAATAGATCAATGAAATCAAGAGGCATACAAGTTTCCACCTCCAAACAATCGAAAACTTCAGTTAAAAAAACTATAGTATAAATAATGAATTCCAAATACAATTAATAAAAGATCTGCAAAATTTAAAACATAAGCTGTGCTCCATGCACTAGTTTCAGCCACTGCAGTGATAAATTACATTATCCTTCATTAAAATCTCCTGAGCAGTTGGTAAAATTAATACAATAAATTCTATAAATCTATTTAGCTCTTTTCATGGTTTATTTATTCTTCACTTTTTCGGCCAGAGATAACATAATGTTCACAAATCCTGCAAAATTATATCGTTCAAAATTTTGCAAAAAGCTCACCACAACTGGGCAGTATCTAGGCTACCAGAAACAAAACAAAGCAATTGAATTTCCCAATCGTAAAGAAATCACAGTAGTACTTCAAAATCAAACCATTTACAATACCTGAATTGATCGTTGTAAGCATTTGACGATGAAATAGCTTTCTGGAAAATCTGAAAGCACAAATTTTAAACAGCTCAGTACACATGCTTGATATTAATTAATCAAACAAATATAAGTTTGCGTGAACTGAAAACGAGATTAGAAGTTACCGCTGGATTGCTTGTTACACCTCTCACACCACTAGCAATCAGTGGAAGCAAATCTGTAACTGGGCGACAGAGGTTATCATACCAAGGGCTCTGACCTTCCTTTTCATAAAGATCATGAAGTGATGTTCTTTTTGTTGCACTTCCATTTCCACCTGCTTGTGAACACCTGACACTGTAACCCAGTTGAATTCAGCATCAAAAGTGACTAAATGAAGTGCAATTTTTTTTTTTTTTTTTGGTTATTAACATTTCATCGAAACAAAAGTATTATTTTACATTTGATTTAGTATCTTACTCATGTACCAAAAATTAAATCTGAGTATATACAGAAATAAATAAATTTGATCAATTTAATAAAAGAGAATAATACTCTAATATATATTAAAAAAGATACAAATCTATAATCTATAAGATTAAAAGATCAAATCTAACAAAAAAGAATTCTAAAAAATAATTATTGGAATGGCAAAATTACACACAATGCAAAGCTCTATCAACTTTATATCAGAAAGAAACTCTTTGAAAAAAGCGAAAATGAATCAAACATAAGAGTCAAATCAAATCACAGCACCAAGAATGAATCAAGCATAAGAGTCAAATCAAATCGCAGCACCAAGGTTACAACTAAAAATAAAAAACTAAACTTGATCACCCAAAAGGGTTTCCACATAAAAAAAAATATATATGTATATAAAAAAAAAAACATACAACAGATCAAACTGAAACAAAGATAGATTGAACAAAAATGAAATATTACTCGAGTTCACACATATGATCAAATCAAAAACACAAAAATCCAAAAGCAAACTTACACCAAGGAGCCTCTCAAAACATGGTTATTTCTAAGGCTCAACTGAGAGGACACAACTTTGGAGTTGAACCCAGTTTTGTTATGAAGAGAAACGAAAGAAACCGACGCAAGAGAGGATCTGGGCTTGACCGATGATGAAGAGGAGGACAGAGCAGCGGGGGGTGAATTGCAAAGTTTTGAAACAGTGGCCATAGTGACTCAAAAGGGTTGGTGAAACAGAAGTGGAGTTGTTTGATAAGTTACGATACAACCGAAGAGAAATGAAGAGGGTTCGAAGTTTATATATAAAATAATGAAGAGAGTTGGTTGGTGTTGAGTTTGAGTCATTGACAAATTTCGGAGGAAGGAAAGCCGGGTTTGAGTTGTTGTCTTTATCCTGGGTTTTCTTTGGTTTGATTGGGGTCTTTTTTGTAATATTTTCATTTGTTTGGGGTTGAGAAATATGACATTTCACTGATTCGTCAACTTTCCTATTTTTAGATTTTAATAGAGTTAATTTTAATTATTACGAGCTAAATATTACTAAATTATTCTTATATAGTTTATTTTAATACTTAAAGCTTAACAATAAAGAGATTTTATTACTTCGAAAACCTCAAGGGATTTTTATTATAATATCATACCTAGAGATAAATTCATTAGCTGTTTTTAATTTCAAAACATATTTCTACTTTTACTTTTATTTTTTATTTTTTTATCTTTCATGATGGAAAGGTTAGAGTTGTTGTCTTGATGCTCGGTTTTGTTTGGTTTGATTGGGGTTATGTTTGTAATTTTCATTTCTTAAGGGCTTAGAGTGACATTTCACTGTTTCGTCAACTTTTCCATATTTATTTTCGGAATTTATTTTCTATTTTTACCATTTTTGATCATTCATTATTGAAAGGTTTGGAGGAATTTTAGTATTTTCTGTTTATTTTTTCGTTTAATTTATTATGGAATTAGATTTAAAATTGTTAGGAGATTAAAGACTTACGATATATACATTATTATATATGTGGTTTATTATATATACCACTTAAATAATGCAAAATCACTCCAAACTTATATGTAAATTGGATTGTAATATTATTTCTAGGAATTTTATATCATGTATTGTGAGCTATAAAGTGTCACATCAGTGAAATAAAACGGTGTTATGAGCATATTTTTGCTTTAAAGGAATTATTAAATCAAAGGATTCTAGATTATATAGATTATTATACTAATTCTAATATATTTGGAATGGAGATCATATTGAAGAAAAAACAAAAGTCCAAGTTGGCCACTCAACTTTTAATTATTTTCGACAATGTTATACTAACTTTAAAAAAAAAATGCAATTTAGAGTAACCCTAAAATGAAAAATGGTGTTGTGACTAACAATTAATTTGAAAAACAGATCAAGAGACCTTTAGGTGTATGGGTAAGAAGTAGAAGCAGAAGAACAGATGAAAGCCGGTAATAGATATGTTATATTATTATTATTATTATTAATATGATGCTTCATAGGCAGCTAGAGCTAGAGGTCAATTTGATTACACCAACCACCACCACCTTGAAAGTCTCATTTCAGCCTCCCAACAAAATCAGTTGTCACCCCTTTCTATGACAATTTTACCCTTTCATTTGCCAAAACTAGCAGCATCATCTCTTCTCCTGTTAATTTTAACGTCTTACTTTGAAAATTATATTGACATTGTTATATTCCAAAATTAAAAGGAATGAGATTATCTGGACAATTTTACTCCTTTGCTTTTAGAAACTTCCCTAATTTACCAAAAATAAATGTAATCAAACAACAATAATGTTGTTAGTCTTAGGTATTATTATAAGAACAGGATCTGCAGGATTATATATATATTTTATGTCTTACCAAGGTGGTAGGTGAAGCTTTAACTTTGAATTTAAGATATATTTGTTAGATAATCACAAAATCCAAGGCTAGTAGTTAAAAGGGCTCAATGTCAAACATTTAAATTTAGGAGGTCCCAATAATTCCACTTCTTCTAGGGTTGAGTAAATGTACTAGGTAGGAATCTGATTTTAAACTCCATAATACCACAATTTGGTTTTTATTTTTTTTTTTGCATTAACTTGGGATTAATCAACATGTTTCAAAATTTAACTGATTAAAATGTTATCATACCAATAAAGATGTAAAACAAATTTGATTCACAAATCAAACCGATTTTAACATCAAAAGGGTTTGGGTCAATAGATTTTACTTTAATACCATATTAATAATAAAGTAAACAAATAAAATTAGGGTACAAATTCTAATAAAAAATATTGGTAAAACAAAGGAAAGGTGGTATTATTATTCAAATTGGCTTGTCCTTATCAAAGTTGTTTAATCCTATTCGCTATTAATGTACCATATTTAGCTCAAGGAGGCTTATTCGTTACTCTTTCTACAACTTTAAGCCAAATCTAAAGGTCAAAAATACATCAATTATAAATTGAACCAAAAGCTATGCCTCTAGCTCATTATTGTAAATGTATTGGGTGCCTAACAATCCTATCCGTTGATCAGGCAATCTAGGTCAAGGGATTTGACCAGAAGTAAAATGTGACCTCGCTTTTGTACTATCTAAAAGAATGTGAACGGATTTCTCTGAATTAGAGGAAACATTTAAAGATTGTATCATGAGTATGACTTTAATCTCTATCTAGAGATATTATTAATAATTAATAACAAATTTGACATTTTTATTATATTTTAAACTAGTTTGTTGATACATGCTCTGATTTTTTTTTATAACTAATGTTCTTGTTCTTCAAGTAGATTAATCAGACAGCTACTACAATTCTAACCAGCTGAAAATTTCAACCCACAAAATAGAAAGAATATCACAGATTGAGAAAAAAAAAAAAAAAAAAACTGAAAGCTGAATTCATCGACTATACAACTATGTCCAAATTATGCATTTCTATAGTTTAATCATCTACACAAAATCAAAATTTTTGGTATCAGCCAATTTGAACCTAAACAAAAACAAGTTTAAACACTTGAAACAAAGCCTTACAAAAACCATAAATTCACTTCCATTACCAAGGTTTCAAGTCTCCAACTGGCCCTGCAGTCCAGTTCAAAGTCTTTTCCCCAGGCTTCAAGTAAACATTCTTGGCATGCGGCAGTTTCCGGGCTAGACCGTTCAAGATTTGATGGAAAGCGTCTCCAGATTGCGCCGGTTGAGGAAACAACATTGCACGTTTCATCGAAGGGTTTGCAAGAAGCCTTTGTTTTCTCAGAATTGTTTCAGTTGGTATGGATGTGAGGATTGTGTCCAAGTTAGGCACATCTTCCTCTGCTACAAACACTCCAATTTCTTCCCAGGGGATGGCGTCTGCGAAGGGTAGAACGATATCATCTGCGATGATTACAGGGATGCAGCCGAAGACTACTGCCTCAACAAGCCTTGGACTCCACGGCGCCCACCCTAGAGGGCACAAACAGAAGATTGCTCGCTGCATATCTTCGTAATATGTTGTTGGATGATCAGTAGAGATGTCAAATAGAGGATTGTTCTTAAAATTCTCCCACACAGCTGCCCTTGCTCCTCTGTTGGCAAAAACAAAAATGGCCAGAAAAGGATTCACATTCAGCTCAAAAATGGGGTTGAAACATTAACAAGCTAAAAGCAACAAACATTGTGGAGTCAAGAGGGGTCACCGGCCCCCACTAGCCCCAATATAAGTCTGTCCCTATCTAGAAGTGAAGAACATTACCTTGCATAGTAACCCCCTTCTGGATCGTTATTTACATCATAAAACAAGCCCCGGAAGTAGACAAAGATTGAGCGTGGAGTGTCTGGAGGAATCTGGTGAGCCTGCATCTTTTGTGGTGGAGCATATGGAGGAATTGTGATAGAGCCCTTATTCAAGCACACATGGTTGCGTTGCCCAAAAGTTTGGACCAAAGTAGCGCGCTGGAGTAATGGGAGTATTCCCCTTTCAACTGCTTTTTCTTCCTACACATTGTCAACCAAAAATCAGAGCTTCATTGGGCAATTGTGATTTGTAGAAGTTATGAGATTAGCCAAAGTTAAGTGAAACACATAACTTCAATTACAAGCAAATGAGAACAATTGAATTTTGAGTTTAAAAAGGTGAGTAGGCCTAATAGTTGGTAATAACTAATGACAAGTGATATTAGAGAAGATCCATATTCTCATTTGTTACGTGAGCTCCTTGTAGTGATTAAGGATAAGTTTCACTGTTATGAACATAATAAGGATATCACGTCTTTTGGATAATTGACAAACGTTTGGCTCGTAATGAGAAATATCATAACAGACTTGTATTTTTATCAATTATGTAGGCTCTTTATGCCCATTAAGGATAAGTTAGATAAGGATAGTGTCAACCGGTACAAGAGCATCACGTTTTCAAAGTAGGTGGCAATTGTTTGACTTGTAACAAATGGTACGAGAGCAAACCTAAATTCTTATACAGTATGTAGGCTCCTAATACTAACCAATGTGTCTTTCAAATAGAATCAGAACATAGCAAAGACATAACATTATTGCATAAGAGAAAAATGTTGCAATTCCACGTCGGATACAAATAATTTATGTCTTAAACTTAAAAGTTTGGTGGTCAAACATCATCACCTAATAATTTAATCTTTCCTATCTTTCCATTGGTCGACAAAAGAAAAAACAAAATTAAAAAGAAGTCCACCTCCGATTGATGGGAATGACAGTTTTCCATACCTGATAATGGAAGCAAGCCCCAAAGTCATGAGGCACAACAAAGAAGTGGTCAGCCCCTTCAGTCTGATTCCAATAGGGCCAATTTGAGGAGATGAGTTGTATGGCACTTCTCATCATCCTGGGAGATTTGAATGGCAATGGCAAGCCAGTGGGTGTAAGATCACAAGTGGGGTAAATCGGGGTGTAAAACCAATCAGCCTCCTCAGGGTTCAGAGTCCTGACAGGACTGGATAAAAGAAATCTGTGCATAAAAATCTCGGCTGCAAACATATGAGTGAGACATCTGGGATCTTTCTGAAGAAGTTTCTTATTGTATTTGCTTGGAAGTTCATAAATATAAACTTTAAGCCTCCCCACAGGATCATCTTCCAGGACATCTCCAGCACTCCCTGGATAATTCATTAATTGAAAGCACAGTCAGGATTTCAGGCTTCAGAATTTTTTTAAGTCAATTTTCTGGTGAGGTTGATGGAACTTGACAACTTCTGAAAATTGCATTTCACCATATTTACAATTCTAAAGAAGTTGAAATGCATAAATCAATATAAATATCAGATAACATATCATGTTCTTTCTATAATTTAAGCAATTTTTATTGTGTTTATACATGCAAATTTGAAATTTTTTACAAGCTGGATGTCCTTTTTTTTTTCATTTTTTTTTTAAAATCCAAATTTTCATTTATTAGCTGGAAAGTGCTAAAAGACAATTTTATAATATTTGATACAATATTTTTAACTGAAATTTTGTATTATATTAAATCGTTAATTAGTGTAAAAACATATTCACTACTAAAAAATTTTCATTATTTACATTGTTCTTGGAGCAATGATAATAAAAGAAAATAGATATAAACGGTAGAGGCAAAAAGAAATTTACTATGAGTTAATGAGAAATACACCCTTTAGGTTTGATAAAATATCAAATTGATAATAAATTTACTGAAATAAGCATAAAAGTTAATCTTCGAGGAAAAATACATGCTAATTACATTTATGTATTATCATTATGATGATTCATTTTAACTTATAAGAGTTAATGGTCGAGAGTAAATACTTATTTCTCCAATCTTTTAATCATAATAAAAAATCTTAGTACACAAAAACCCAAAAAAAAAAAAAAAAAAAAACTTAAAAAATATTAAAGCATACCAGAAATTCTCTCTATTTTTGGACTTTTCTCAGCACCAATGCTCCAAACAAAACAAAAGGCAAGAGCAGGAAGAACCCACATGCAAAACGTCTTCATTTTCTCTCTCAAAGCCAAAACTTGAACAAAAGATGGAAAAAGGGAGGTGGGTTCACTTGGAAAGAGAATGAAAAGGCCTGGTATATAAGAAGCTTAATTAGTATAAATGGTTGGAACGTCATGTAGAGAAAGTGGTTGAGGGGTTTACTTAGAAAATAAGGTTATGAGGTAGAATGAATAAGAAATGAAAATGGTGGGAGACTGAAAGGGAAAAGAAAAAGAGAAATTGCTTGAAGAAACAGAGAAGTAGAAGGCGTTTTCATGAACGTGTTAGCGGATAATTTAGGGCCCTGAGGTTTAGGGGTAGAGTATGCTTTGGTCTACTGGAACTGAAAAGTAACGCTTTGGTACCTGAAAAATGAACAATTTGATCTCTATATAATAAGAAATTAAGATACTTAGGTCATTTGGACAGTAGGGGTGGCAATTTTATATACGATTTGCTAACATGATATGAATTTGACACGATTTTAAATGAGTTAGGATTGATTTTAATCATTTTTGTATCAAATTCATCTTTCACAAACTCAACTTGTTTACTAATGATGCTGTGCTTAGGTTGAGGGTTTTCAACTTGCGCTAGCGATATGATTAATTAAACAAGTAGTGTAACTTCTTTATGACAACATTTTTGTTTATACATGACAAGAATAATTGTTTATGACACCATCTATTTATGATATTATTAAGATGAGATTAATAAATTAAATGAATTAACTCATGTTATGGTACACATTTTCATGCCACCTTGTAATAATTGTATTTTGTGCTCCATAATTATACTAATAAATAAATAATATGATAAACTAAAATCTCATTTCTCTCTCTTAGACAACACTAATTCAATATGCCAACACATTTTGTCACATATAACTTAGGTTCTTTACACAAGGATTAGAGTATCATTTTCTTATTTTAGTAGACTAAACTGTAATTCATCTAGTTATTAGGGATCTAAAAAACTATCCATGAACATTGAGAAACATTAAAGAATACGTAGACAAATATACGTTAGCTGAATTGAAAGGTGTGTTTGTTTTGCCGGTTTGCTGACTAGTCATTAGTCAATATGTTTTCCAAAGCAATGTGTTTTTTGTTTAATACTTCTAAATTGACCCTTTAACCTTCTTTTTTTCTTCTTTCAACTTTAAGATTTCACTATAAACATGTGCACAATAGACATTATAATTTACTAGCTATATTAACTTTATAAATACTTATTTTAAACATAAATAGTAAATACCTTTGCATTATGTTAAATGATATGACACAAAAATATATTTACTTCTTAAAAAGTTTAATGTTTCACTTGGAAAATGGGGTAAATTTATTTATTTACTCAGTAGTATTATCTCAAAAAATAATACTAAATATTCAGATTTTATATACAGACTATGGTATATAAATTGGCCTGACAAAAAATAATAGATGAGTGGACATGAAAAGGTTATTAAATATTATTGATATGACAATAAAAACGTTATAATGTTATATTAGTACAGTATATATAATTTTTTTTTTTTTTATATATAGTTTGTGAAGGTATTATTTTATTATATATACAAATTACAATCACTCTTAAAAGTGTGTTGTTATTCGAGGAGTAAAATTAAAAATAAATTGCACAAATTAAGAAACGAAGACATAATATAATACTATGGTATCAACTAATGTACAAATAAAGTGACCTATAGTTATGCAAAGACTATTATACCTTTATAACATCACAATAACACACGAAAATGTAGATTTACCCCTAAATAAAATATAAAATAAACCAAAATACGGAAACCTGTTGTAGTCATAAAATAAAAACCTGGTTTGGGCTTGAAAAATTAGGCCCAGGCTATGATAGGCCCATCCCGGTTCGTGTGCATTTTATGAAAAAAATTAAACGTTTATCATTTCACCCTGAGGTTTCATTACTTCAAAGTTCCCCCTTAGATATCAGAAATAACAATTTACACCTACCGACAGTATTCGGTTACGGTTTTGGTATTTGATTTAAGGGATATTTCATATTTATTAGCAAACATGTTTTCACTATTTTTATTAACAAAAACTATTTTCATAAAATGATAATAAATGCATTTTCAAAATTTGAAATAAAATTAACGATAATACCAAACATAATGGTTAAGTTTAATATTGTATTTGGTGGTTTTGTTTTCAAAAATGAATTTGTAAATGAAAACAAGGCCATCCCAAATCCACTACCGCATATATTGAGAATTAGTCTGAATAAAAAGTTGAGATCCTTACTTTATATATATAACATTATTGTTTATAGAAAGGAAGTTGTATGTCTTGAAAAAATTAGTATAATTATTGTTTACTTCAATGAAAAATACAAGAAAAAAATATTGTTTAGAGGTAATACAATTTATTTATAAAATTAGAATAATATATATATTTGAAAAATTGGGTTTGTAGAGCATTTTATTTTATTTAGATAAATAATCACCTTCTTTATGCATTTAAATCAATTAAGTGGGACGACATTTTTTTATTTGGGTAACCTTTTTTTTTTGTGTAAGAATTGAGGATGGACATTGTGATAAATGGCTTTTGGTTTCCGCCAAAATGATTAATTGTAACCCCATTAATTTCATAGGGAACATTCAGTTAGGCTTCAAATTTTTGGTCTTTCCTTTTATGTTGAGGTTTTTTGATAAATTTAGTGTATGATTTGTTCCATTTTAAAAAAAAAAATATTCTTGTTACAAAATAATCCTCAAAAAATAATCGCAATTTTTTTTTTTTTCTGGTTATATTTTAAATGACTAGTTCGTGTAGAAATTACTTATCACTCACATTATCACATGAAAAAGTATGTAAAAATCAAGTGATATAATAACCTATTAATCTTTTTATTTAGCCCGTTAAATAAATTTATTTAAAAAAAATTATTTAAATATATTATATCTTATCTAAAATTACTCATATTTAATGATTCTTCTTAAAACTCAAATAACCTTGGTTGGTATGGCTCAACTGGCCGACCGAGTGACACTGCAGTTGCTATAAGCTGGGGCTTTGGCTTTGAAGGTGTTTTGGTAGTAGTCTCGCAGCCTTCTGATCACTTCTAATTTCTCTACTTCTCATTTGGTAGGAACCAATGGTCTGATGGAAGGGACAACTTGCATAATGTGGATCCATGGGCGGCCAAGTATGACATTATAGGGTAGGGATTGTCAAGGACTAGGAGGTTGTTTGGAGGTTGACTCCGCCTACATAGCTAGAACGGTTACTTCTCCGATGGTATACTTTTGCTCAAAGCTAAACTCAATGAGGATGGCGGGGCATCGGTTGATGTTTGCCTTGTCTATACCTATTATTTAGGGTTTCCAAGAACATGATACTGGTTGAGGACCTGCCATTTACGAATATCCTTTTGACAAGTATTTTCGCTATTTGGAGGAGATGACGAGTGTGTGTGTGATGAGGGTTAGCTAAGGCCATGTTTTTGTTGTCAACAAAACTAATGGTTTGTGGTCGACATTGGTGAGGATGGTAGGATGGTGAGCTTCTAGGTTGGCACAGCTTGGCTGTCGTTTGGCTGAGGAATAAATCCCACTGATCTCAGAATTGCCGGAGATGATATGACAATTTCCATTGTTATTGGTTCCTCTGTTAAGGCATGACTCAACGATTTTACTAAGGGTGCTCTTTCCTTCTCAAATAAAGATCTCGTAGACTGCTTCTCTTAAGTAACTCTGTCGCCTCGATTTGAATAGCGTTACAATCGACAGTGTAGTGGTGATGATCCCCATGAAACTCGCACCATTTAGAGGTATCTCTTTTTGCTTTGTGTTCTAGTTTGGCTACCACTTGACAGCTTACCCATGCTTTTCATAATTGCCACGACTTGAGTCGGCTTGACACTAAGGTTATACTCTAAGATCTGGTTTGATTGATAGGGGTTGTTGCTCGCTCGATGAGCCAGCTGACTGACGGTCTAGTGGCCTTCTGTTATCTCTATTTGGTCCCCTTTGGGAGAAGTGGGGTATGGCTCGAATGGACGATGTCTTTTCATCTGTTGTTCCATTTAGAGCAATGATCATTATCTACAGATATTGGCTCGGTTGCCTCATCTTCTTCCTACCTTATTTCAACCAAGGCTCAAGCCGGACATCTCCATGGTGGTGCAATGGAACTTGGTGAGTTCTTTGTAAAGCTCATTATTAGGAAGATCCCTTTCTAAACACGTCCACCGTCATTTCTTGGTTGCAGTTAGGGGATGGTGATCTTTCTTTGTTAAAGCAACTCATATCATCCGAGCGGTTCTCTTAGGTGTTGATAGATCCTATAAGTCAAGGCGTTTGCTATTGGCGAACTGCTCAACAAAGGTGTCAATGAGTTGAGCAGTGCAGGCGGTGGAGTTGTTAGGAAGGTTTGTGTACCACTGGAGGGCAAGTCTCATTAGGCTTGAGTCAGAGCTCTTACACATGCATGCTTCCCTTAAGTCACGGGGAGGATGTGATGGTGATGGCAAACATCCTTTATTTATACGGGCTAATGGTCATCCGAGTCAGTTGTGTCTCGTAGAGCTTCATGGTAAGAAAGGTGAACTTTCTTGGTATCTCTATGAGGCGATGGAGCCACAAAGGTGAATCAATTGTAGCTTGGGGTAGACTCTTCTTGATGGGCTTGGTAATCTGAGGATGCTTTGCATCATGGCCTTCATGTTAGCCAATCTTTTAGCCATTGCGTGCTCTAGGGGTGTGTCAGTAGACAACAAGTCTGAACTGAAGGTTAGGTGTGGATTTAGGGTGCCATTAGCATGTTAGGTGAGCCAAGCTGAGTGGGATAGTAGGGGTTTTGTCTAGCAGGGAGGGTCACATGGGATTGGGGATGCCACTTGTCTCTCAAGATAAGCAGAGCTAAGTGTGACCGAACAGGTGTTCTGGCCAACATGGATGGTCAGTTGGAATTTGGAATGCCACTCGCCCATGTGATGAGTTGAGCCAGTGGTGTTGAATGGGAATGTGGATCTCCATATGTTGATGGATGGGATGGTTAAGGGTTTACATCTTGGAATGGCTGGACTTGTGTTGTTTGGACAAGAAGGTCGTGGTGTGAGGAAGATGTTAGTGTATGCCCTAGGAACCAATCGTGTCGTCGGTTCCAAGGCATTATGTTTTGTATATTATGTGAATGTATATATTTTGTATACATTTTATCTTATCAATAGAAGAAATGTTTTATTTCACATGGTTTATTGCTTCATTTATATATGTATTACATGTGAAATGTCCGGATGATATAAATCTTCAGAAGATCAAAATCATCAAAGTATTCCCTACATAGGTAATATTAATTGGGCAATATAGTAGGTATTATGGGGGTGATTATAAAAGTTATATCACTAAGATATAGCATGGATACGCGGTTAGTGAACTGTTTATCGAATATGGTCATTTATGATGAATCACATGGACATTTAAAATGTAGTCAATGATTTATCATAAGATTGTACTAGTGTATTATTAATCCTTAGACCTGAGATATCACGTTGGATTCTGCATAAACACATATGGTTCATATGGTGTATAAACATGAGCTAATCATGCCATGTGTTAATAAGCCGATTTGACCATTGTTTTGTTTATGTGTGAGGACAAGTGATAGTCAAGATGAGATCTATTGACTTGGTATAGATTGATATCAAGTTCCTAGACAAATGTCAAAATACATTGGAAAGGGAAATCTCCGACCGGTATATAAAATGTTATATGAAAGGTTGTTTCATATGAACCGTTCCGTATGTATTGTATTAAAAATAGATAGGATTTTGACATACCATGAATCCATTATTAATTAATTAGCAATGGAAGGATTTGATTATACAACGTGTATGATTGTAAAAAGTTTGTTAGAGTATATCTTCATTGTGACTTAGGGGTTTGGATTGCTAGATGCCTACCATGATCAGTGGGAATTTTGTTCATAAAGAGTTATGACAAAACATATCGAAATGGACTATGAATTGGGCCCACGCTAGGCCACCGTAAACCTAAGAGTCACACATAAAAACTAAGAGAATGGAGAAATAGCCAAAGAGGTTGATTATCCAAGGTTGGCTAGCACCTACCAGGTAATAAAGTTTTTTATATTAATCATTTTCTTTATATTAAATTGGATTTTATAAAGGGTTAGTATTGTAAACAATTAAGGTTAAATTGTTATGTAACAATTTAACGAGTTAGAATTGTTAATTGTGATTAAATGTTAATCCAATGTTATAATTTAAAGAAGTTTAACAACTTCATAACAATTATGGAATTGTTTAAGGAAGTCCAAAACAATTATTGAATTGTTTACAAGGATTCCTATATAAAGAAAATGATATATCAATTTTTGTGAAGAGATCAAAAATCTCTAAGAACCCTAAATCTTTCTCTTGGTCAAATTTCTTCTTCCCTTGGTGTGGATACTCTTTTGCTTAATTTCTCTTGAAATTAAGAGTCTCCAAGATTGCTAAGGGCTTAAGGTAACATGTTCTACCTTACTCATTTCAATTTGATTGAATTTTTTTTTTTTTTAAACTATGACTATAATTGTTATAGTATGATATGCTTGATTCTCCATGCATCCATCTTTCAGAAGATCGGTGAACGAGGTTGTGTTTGCATGGCTAAGTTGGAATGGTTATCTGTGGCTGGGAGTTAGCTGCGCGAGGTTGAACTATTATGTAGCAATGATTGGTGAGTCGATGATTGTGGATTTGGAAGAGTGGATCAGTGGTTAAGCGTCACGAGTGGCTGCATGGGGTTTATTGGGACGTGGAATTGGTTGTTAGGCACTTGGTTTGGTGGAAAGTCGAGGGAGTAAAACTGATTCACTTTATCTTGCAGGGTTTGGTTTTTGGCTCGGATGATGGCGTTCTTGGCTTCCAGCATTGTGACCTTGTTGGTGTGTTCTTGCATTTGCGACATGAGGGTTGCGACCTAAGCCGTGAGGTTTATAGGAGGAGTTTTGGTAGTCCTTGTCATGATGAAAATTGGATGTACGAAATAGGTTGTTGAATGTCAGACGATTGTCAAGGCCCCACAGTGGGCACCAAACTATGTACGGTAAAAATCCATGGTTATGGAAATGACTGATCTTGTGAGGTTGAAGCCACTGACGATCTTTAGACTTGCACATACAAAAAGATAAGTGTGAAACTCATGAGGGACACTAGTGTGATGTTTGCTGTAGACACTCCTACGCTCAAGTCAGTAAGGTTTGAAAGACAATTTAGTGGAGGTTAAGGAAAGGGGGTTATTAGAATCTTGTCGGAGCTCAAGACTACGATAAGGAGTGACGGTGGTTCTTCAGAGAAAGAACTTTGGGAGCAAGTACAGACCTTTGTTTATATAGTGAGCCAAAAAGGCTATAATCCAAGTAGGACTTCGAGTCCTACTTAGAATAGGAGTTTGAATTAGGAAGGAACTAGTGTTACTTGCCTTTATCAGTTTAGGAATACTAATTCATGTAAGATTCAAAATCTTGGATGAATTAGAAAGTTGATAGGACTCCAAACCCTATTCTGAAGTAAGGAGCACATGGACTAGAGCCCAAGTGGGCCTGTGATAAGGCCTAGTTTGTGGAGTAACCTTGATTGTAAAGTAATCCAATCTATGAAATGGGTTGACTCATAGAAAGGCGTGGGCCCAACCGAGATTTGGGCCATGGCACTAGGCCATACATTGGGGATTGGGCCATGCATTGTCTGTTTCGTGTTTGTGCTTGATAAGGCTTGGCCCATATAATAACATGTTCGTCCAATATTCGAAAAATTAATTTGGTTATCTGCAATGAATGAGGTTGATGTTTACGTTAAGTGTATTGATGGGAGATGAGTGATGTGAAGGGGAAAATGATTTTTTTATGCATATCAAATTGTGTGAATTGGGCACTGCTTTTTCGTATACACTAAAATATGACCTTTGGAGTGGCATATCAAAGGTCATATTTCATCCAACAGCTACTTACATAAACATGGAGCAAAATGGTAATTTAGAGTTATATGTAATGGGCATTTTAGAGATTCTACATAAAAGCAATTAGGATGGAAAATATTAACACGTGTCACAATATTTTGTACGGTAATTTCGGTATTGCTCTCCAACTTAAAGGGTATCATTGTACACTAACAAATGTCTACTGTATTAGGGGCTAAAACAACCTTATCATGAACAGGCAACTTTTTCTAACGAAACAAATGGATGGAACGTAAAAAATGTGGGCTACGTTCCAATTTCGGAAACCAATGGGGCTCTTCTAAATGCATGGGGGTTTAGTAAAATTTCCGGATTATTAATTTGCGTCTTTAAACCGATTGCATGTCTTTATACAATTGCATCATGTGTCAACTGTCAACAATAAAAAAAGGGATTATTTTTTTTTTTTTTTTTTTTTTGTAACTGAGGTATTCGGGTTAGTTTGCGGGCATCTTAATTAATTTTTGGGATCCATTGAATACCATACAAGTTTAAAAGATTAGGTATGACCTCAAGATTTGAATCCAAGAGCTCAAGGAAGTAAGCAAACCTCTTTGACCGTCAGACCAACCCCTTAAGTTAACAAAGCGGATCATAGGTATAAAAATAAGTCATGAAAGTCTTTTATACAAACTAAATTGATCTATTCATAATAAATTATCATGACATAGAATTAATAAATAAATATAATAAATATTGATTGAAAAAACTAAAAAAATAACCAAACAATTAAAAAAAAAAAAAAATTGCAAACTCATAATTTTCCTAAAAAGAAAAAACCAACAACACAGTTAGTTCTTAATCATGCTGCATATTTTGAGCCCTCATTCTGCTGCCCCATGAGCCAGGTCTTTGTTTCATACGACAACTAGATCTTTTCTTTAACTCAACTATTTGATCTTGCCATCCTTTTCTCATAGAACATTGAAGATTTCTATTCTTCTTCATCTTCCCAAAATTTCTTAACCCTAATTCACAATCATACTTCTCTCGTAACACAGGATCTGATAACGTCGTGTAAGCCGCGTGTAACTGAACAAACATCCTCGTTGCTTCTGCCTTCCTTGAAGGATCGTGGCAAATGTCAGGGTGACATTGAAGCGCCATGCTTTTGTATGCTCTCTTTACTTCATCAAAACTTGCATTATTTGAACTCAATGAAAGAACTTTGTAGAAGTTTGTGGTCTCATTTTCGCCTGTCGATAACGTCGTAGTAGCTCTACATGAAACTGAAATAAACTTTGGATTGATTTGTGGTGGTTTTGTAGGTTTTTTTTGGGAAAGCAATGGGTTTGCAGAACCCTTAAAGCTTGAGCTCAGGGAAAAATTCATGGCGCTAGTTAAGTTAGAAGTGATAGTTTATGTGCTATGATGTTCCATTAAATACCATACAATTTAAAGGAATTTATTTAGTTTACGGAGATTAAAATAAATTCACCCATGATATGTGAGTTAAGTAACAAATACATCCAGAGGATTTCGAAAGTGACAAATCCACCCGATTGTTTACTTAAAAGACTAAATACCCTAAGTTTTCGTTATTAAGTATCTTATTTTACTTGAATTTATAATGCTTTTTTATTAAATTTTTATGTGTTTAGTTTGAAGGTGAGATTTGGAAGATGATAATGTTATAATTTAGGGTATTTTAGTCTTTTAAATTAAATAAAAAATGGGTGGATTTGTCACTTTTGGATATTTGTAGGTGTCTTAGTACTAACTCAAACCTCAAGGGTGAATTTGTTATAATCTTGTAATATACGTGATGTTAAATTATATAATAAGGTAGCGTGGCACAAGGGCGGTTTTGACTGCTTTGGTTTTGTAGTTGGACCAAGAACAACACCGGTGATTCCAAAGCTTGAGGCGGTTTATTGGGGGCAACTGGGGATATTTATAATACACAAACGTGAGCCTTGTGCAGTATTCAAAAAGATTTTTATAGTGCAAATTTGGTGAAGTGGCCGTTTTAGGCATCTTGGTTTGGCAAATATTGGTTTGTTGAGTCACTGCAAACGTCATTCTCTCGGGATTTTGTATTAACTGTCCATCAAAATTGACCAAATTTTTGGATCCCTCAGAGATTTTTCTGAAAAATAAAATTAGAGTGAGTCTCTTAGTTATACCCAAATTAATAATTCATGTATTTGACTTTAACTTAAATAATATAAGTATATATAGGTCAAGGGGTTCGTCATCTGATTGAGTAATGAAAATCAATGGATTAATCTCTGTATGTATTCAAGTGATCATGGAACCAACAAGGTTTTACTTTATTATTCAATATTTTGTATTTTGACAATTTAAGAGGATTATTTTATATGTTCCATCATTATTTAGGGTATATTTAAAATCAATGAATTTAAAAGGTTTTACTTCTGTTCCATCATTTATGAGTTAATTCACGATTAAAAATAGAATTATACAACTTTTATTTTTCTTGTAACTTATAAATCTAAGGTGGTGTTTTTTTTTTAATCTAAAAATTGAATGAGTCTGTCAGCTGAATATGCCTAAATATATAAGTTTGATAGATATGTTTGTTTGTGTAAGTATTTTTGTTAATCTATAAAGTCATGTGTGCACATGCATTTATGATGTTTGCATATTCATTTGGTTAAGCACAATCGTGTCTGTATTTTACACATGTCATGATATTCTACATTGATGTAATCACATATCCTTAGTTTGATTTTATCGTAAAATATGTGGGTACATTAGAGTTAGATATGTAAACAATCGTCCAATCAGACCACAGTACAAATGTCGAGTTTTCATTGGATGTTAGGATTTTATCCAAGATTGAAATATACATGAGTGGTCCAAATACAGGTATCAAATATTTCATATGTGTTCTTGGAAATTTGTTTTGCTTTTCAAAAGTCATCCTAACAAGTTGTTGAAAACTTTCCTTAAATAGCCAAACATGTGTAAGGCTTTGTCGGCTTGTCTAAGGGTTTTTTTTTGTGTACAAGGATTCCTTATAAACTTCTTCATCCTTGCATTTACGTTTGAACTTGAATATTTCTTTTGTTGTTTTCTGAAAATCCTTTGAGGCTTTTTTTTTCATTTCAGGTTAGGTTCCTTTGTTGTTTTTAATACTTAAAATACATTGCTAATTTTGGTTGTTTGAGTGTGTTAGAACATGATTCCATTGATGAAAGCTTGAAGGGATTTCAAGTTGTGGAGCTGAAGGGTGTCTTCAGTGTTGAAGCTTGAGTGGAGCTCGAGCTATCTAGGAGGTTTCTTGGATTCAAGCAAGTTGTGACAAGACGGTAGATCATCCAAAGGGTGAAGTTAGAGTGTGGTGGAAACATAGAGCATTTTACATTTGTTTGCTTAACTTCAACTTTGTAATGAACTTTGAATGTTTGCTATAATAAATTTGTTTTGTCTTGACTTGGTCCCATGGATGAAGGTTGTTGGTCAGACCATGTAAATATGATTGTGTGCTTTATTTTATGCTCATGGTTGATATGATGATTATGTTGAATAACCAAACTTACAAACACCAATGACCATAATCAACACTTTCTGCAGTAGTTTAATGAACTTGGTTAAACTTAAACTTTCAGCTTTGCTTTTTTATTTTTTTTTTATTTTATGTCTGATTATAAATATTGAGTTGTTTGTTTTTATTTATGTAAACATCTTAAAATTGGTTTTTTTTGAACACGTTTGTCCATATTAAAATATTATATTTTACATATTTCAAACAATTTTCACTACAAGAAATTTAAAATTTAGGGATGAAAATTTTTGTCACAAAAATTGAAAACTTTGTCCTAACAAGTAATGTAGTAATGCAGGACGAAAGACCAAATCGTCCCTAAAACTGCATTGCCAAAGGGTAAGACCCACGAAAAAACGAATCGTCACCAAAGCCACACTATTGGGGACGAAATACAGTTTTCTCACTAAAGATTATTTATTTTGTGACAAAATTTTTTGTCCGCAAAAGAATAACTACTCGTCCCAAATAACACTCTTTCGCCCCTAAAAAACGTACAATTGGGGACAAAAATTTTTATCCCTAATTGGGAACAAATATTTTCATCCTTATCTATGTGGTGAATTGGGGACGAAATTTACTGGGTTGATAATATGATGATTAACCGTAACCCCAATTTATGAATCAACCCTGCTAAAATATCTTCATGATAATACCTAGATTCATTTTCACTTCACTATATAAACAAAAAAAACAACAAAAGCTGAGTTTCCCAAATCAAACTGCACTTCTTTATTGACAAAGACTGTCAACATTACAATTCCTACTTACCCACTAACACAGAATCTTCTAAGTTTCAGGATTCAAATTCCGAAAGAGTGAAACAAGAAACAAAATTGCAAACATCTTTGTTCTTTCCTATAATCCGGAATCTTCAATGTTGTCACAGTTTTTTGTTTGCTTCCATCCCTACTACTTCCAGCTAAAGTTTATCCGCCTTAAACGCAATCTCTTTGTCTTCAACAACATTCTATTGACAATTCAGATTTTCTTGATTAGCTTCAAAGAATGCTTTACCAAATATTCCTCATCAGGTTGTTGTGTCATTGTGACGTTAGTTGTCTACTAATCTATCCAATGCTTCCTTCATCCACCCATATTGACTTTGACAAGCTTTTCTGGCTTCCGCCACACTCATCTGCACAAAAAATGTGACATAATTATCAGAAATTGTTCTTTATACGATGCTTTTGATTTCGAATGCATACATTTCCAAAGTTAGGAAATAAATAATACATACATTTGCTGTAGTTTTGCAAAACTGCAGTGGACTGCAGACTTTATATTGTAGAAAGGACTGTCCAATCAAATTTCATCATCAACAAGCCCAAAGCAGCCAGCACAAAAAAATCCAGAATAAATTGTGCAACAATAAAATGGGTTTAAAATTGCAATTAAAGAGATAACTAATTTAAGTAAAGTTGATAGCTAAATGGGTTCAATCCTTTACAAGCAACTCAAGCCAAAGTAGATCAAAGCAGGGGAGCCAAAACAGAGCCAAAAACAAAGCAAATAAAACCAGAAAAAAACAGCGTATGCACATAAAACTATTTATTCGCAGAACTTCAAGTTTGATTAATAATAGCAATAAATCCAACTTACTTCTTCTGCTCATTCTCCTTCTCATCCAACCAACTTTTAAGCTTGTCAACCAACTCTTAAGCTTTATATTTTCGTCCTTATTATAATATTCCACATTCAAGTTACATATACAAATTTCTAGTCAAAGAAGAGAGAGAATAGTCTGCAGATTAATTATTTACAATTTACAAAGTGGGAATAAATGTTCCCCAGATTTCCTGATAGGAGTAGGAGATACAGCTAGTCTGCAAATATAGACATATAATTTGCAGTAATAAAGAAAATGGAAGATTGTATTATTTCCCAAGAGTTTTAAAAACTCCCACTCCACTTTCTGTGCTTCGTTATTTCACCATTAATATCCAACCTACCAAAACTCAACTCAACCAATTGAGGCCGAAAAGAAAAAAAGGGGACCAAACAGGCAGTGATGAATGACTCACAAAGAGAATGTTAGTGCTTTCCAATAAGCTAATTTTGTTCACAACCCACATCATAGAAAATGCCAGCTGCAGTTACCAAACTGTAGATTGCAAATTGCAAACTGCAATTTGCAAGAATTTCTAGAAATTCTTGATTTCAAATATCAATATCCAACATGGCTCCTTTTTTAGGCAAATTCTAGAAATTAATTTGCTCAAAGTCAATATAACTACAATACACAGTAACCCAAAAGGCACCAAAACTAAAATCATAAGTGAACATTATAATATTATTTAGTGAACTCAACGCTATTTCTAGCATGTATTATTCCTTGCAATTCGTTGTGTGAATGATTAATACCCTTGTTAAACATTATTTATTTGAATTTGTTTTTAAACCTGAGTGAAACATATTACTTGTTCACATGCTGTTCAAAGAGAAGAGAAAAGAAAATACCAATAGCCTTCCAGGAAGATTCATGGAAATTTCTTAGAATAAATTTATATCAATTAATTATATATAAAAAAATCATAAAATTCTCCACTTCACGAGTAATTTTACTTCGACCAACTCAAGAAAACTAAACGTTTACAAATCAAACCATGGCCTATAGCACTAAGTAAGAAAATTAAACAATACTAAACTGATTTCCATACTCTTACACGTCTCCCAAACAACCAAAAACAAAGATTAAACTTGCAACACCAAACATTTACAAATCAAATCAAGGCCGATAACCCTAAGTAACAAAATTAAACAATACTAAGCCGGCTCGAACTCGCCGAAACATAAACAACATCAATCACTTCACAATCAG